TATCAAACGTTGACAGGTCCGCGTTGATAAAAAGGTTGGGGAACACTGTAATAGAGGACACAAAATAGAATATAATTGCAGTGGTGGCGAAAAATGTTTCGGTTAATTTGGGGTTAATTTTTGCTTGCACACCATATTTAAAAAAATTCAATATTTCTAAATTGTATTTGTGATTGCAATTAAAAAAAATAAATAACCAAAATAGAAATTGAAATAAAAACGTAATGTAAAATGCTTTAATTACATATTAAAGAAATATTATAATTAATCTATCCTTAAGTTATAAAAATTTTCTACGAAACTATTTACACAAGGTATTATAATTTACATACTTGAGTTGTTACTACCCCTCTACTATGTTAGTTTTTTTAAACTAGCTATTATCAGAACGTTCATTTTTAAGCTAAATTTCCCTTGAGCTTAAATATTTAAATATTGCTTTAGTTATTTTTTTTAAAAAAAAGATTCTTTCTACTTATGCAGTTCAGACGCTAGTAATGCGATAACTAATTACACTATTTTATTCGTGTTACGATAGCACCAAAATATATCTTTACATATATATTGAGGTCGTAAAGACTTTTTGGCGACACTGTATTTCCGTTAATCAAATAATTACCGAAAGGATACTTTACTTGATGTTAATATTATATATACAAAATATCTTCAAGAAAATTTTAGATTAATTTAAAAACGGTCAAAAATACAAAAACAGAAAGTAATTATTTAGAATTTTTCGATCCATAGCTGATTCACATAAATTAGCAATTAAAATACTTATCCAAACACTAAATCTGAAAAAAAAATATTGCTATGTCAAAATTTTCTTCAAAGAAATAGTCCGCTACATGGGAAGAACCCAAAATTAACTTAATTGAATATCAAAATCCCCACGCTTATTAAGTTTTTGTTCTTTTATTTTTCCAAATTGTGCCAAATATATTTTAACAAGCATCATTTCTTTTCGAAAAAAAGTTTCGTTTCTTTTTACTTTGGTATTCTTAGAACTATAGTTATATATTCAAATAAAGCATCTTATTTTGGGAAACTTCTTGCTTTTACAAAAGTTCTCAAGTGACTTAAAAATGACGTTAATATAGAGGTCCCTGTCCTATTATTTCTGTCACGCAGAAAAATATGACCTTTCCTTCGCTAAGTAATTGATATTCTATGTGGGCGATATTGTGGAAGTTCAGCTAAAGTTGGAATAACGTTATTTTACCTAATTTATACTTTTTGATAATAAAATATGAATGTCTAGTTAAATTCCTGAGTAATGCCGAATATTAAATTTTATGTTTAAATTTAAATGAATTATTCTGCAGAGTAGTTTGTTAAGCATTTTATTATTAATAGATAGAATAAATAGATGAAATATTTAAATGCAGTGTAAAAAGTTATTTTAGATATCCAAATATCCTTTTTTATTTGCAATAGCTATATATGTAATAAAAAATTTAATAATAACAATTTAGCCGTGTATGAATTTAGCATTTTATGAATTTAGCAATTTTTGAATTTAACCCTTTTCTTTTTAACTAACGTTGAACAGGAGACCCAATTCTGAGTTTACGACTATTTTCAATTCCGTATTCTTATAATTTTGTACCCAATTCAGAAAACAAAGGAACTCCTTGATCAAGTATTGGGAGAAATTTGCCATCGTGGAGGACATTTTAATGGAATGAACCCACGATTGCATTACATGGAGAAAAAACCATGGAAAATCTCACGGTTAGCCTGAAGACAAAAGAAATTTGTCTTATAATCCGTCTACCACTGAGGATATTTTATATCACTGTGTTCGGTGTGAACTGGGAGCAGAATTCGTATCAATCAGTCACCATTGGGATTCGAACTTGATGTCACCTTTGGAGTAAACTTTTTGAAGTAAAGGTGATGGTGGCGGAATTTTTTTTTTAATATGGAGAACTATAATTTTAACTTTTATCAACTTAATTGAACAGCTGATGCAGCATATGATGGGGTAAAGGCAAATCCCATACGTCCGAAGTGCCTTAGTGATCTTCCTCTTTTTTTCTTCGTAAGTTATAGTTCCTACCGCTGAGATTCGAATCTGAGTCACCACCTCATTGGAAGGCGAGTGTTCTTTCCTCTGAGCCACTGTGGCTCGAAATAAGCCTTTTAGGAATCATTATGAATTTAGTCACTTATGGACTTAGCCATTTATTCATTTATTCATTTATGAATATATTCAATTATGAATTCGGTCATTTTATGAATTAAGCCATTTATGAATTTAGTCATTTATAATTTAAGTCATTTATTAGTCATTTATAATTTAAGTCATTTATTAGTCATTTATAATTTAAGTTATTTAATAGTCATTTATTAAATTAGCCATTTATGAAATTTGCCATTTATGAAATTGGCAATTTATGAAATTATACATTTAGGAAATAAAATATTTTGAATTTAGCCATTTTGAAATAAGCCAGTTTGAAACCATGCCAGTTTGATATTTTTACATTAAATAAAGCATTTCTTCATTCGACAGAAACGTTTGACTTTTCTATCTCAATTACAACAGAAGTTGTGATGATTTAGAAAATCCTTTTATCTTGACCGACATGCCAAGGGACGTCTGTTTAGCCCTATATCTCGATCGCAAAATGATTGAAATTTTTTGTTCACTTTTTTTAAAATGCGATTTTTTTCTCTTAGTTGATTAATATCTTTGCATTTTTGTCTCTGAACCATAGATAAACGTTGGTCAAATCCCAGTTTCATACACCCTATATTTTGTGGAGCTAAATCGGTTATTATGAGGGTATATACGATAGCATGTGTTTCCTTACAAATACAAACTTATTGTGATTATGTTAAAATAATTCGAATAAATGTCAAATATATGTATACTATATTGTATAAATATACGAGTAATATATGGCATTATAAATATTTTACGGATATTTCGCATAATGTCTTTCTCGTAAGTAATATTGGCCGTTTGAACTGATTGCATATTAACAACATTACTTCAACATTCATTTGTCCATAATGTCCCCATAAGGCTTTTGTGAGCTTATCGAAAATTCTTAAATAACATGGAATATTTCGGTACTAAAGAGTGGGTGACGCAAGATTTATTTCTTAATTTTGAGCAGAAATTATTTTATTGCATAGATTGAGTATCGTCTAGCTCTGTAAGATAAAGTGCGTCACAAAATCTGATTTGATTGCTTTTTTGAGCTTTACTAATTCTTTCAAATGCTGCTAATTATCAACTTTTATCCTCATAACTGTAGAAGCGTTTTTACGTTTTGAAGCTGGAGTTGAACAGCCGATCAAATTCTGAGTTTACGACTACCACTGCTCAACTACACAGGCTTGTAATTTTGGACCAACAGGGAAGACAAGGAAACTTCTGGATTAAACATTGGGACACACTGGCCTTCATGAGGAACTTCTTAGAAGGAGCTAACCAGCATTTGAGTCACATAGAGGGGTAACGAAAACCTTCCATGGTTAGCCAGACGACAAGAGGATTCTAATCTATGATACGTCTACCACTGTGTATATTTTACGTCAGCACTAAGATCGGTGCGAGCCGAGAGTAGAATATGTATCAACCAGCCATCGCTGGGATTCGAACTTAGGTCACCTTACTGGGAAGCGAGTGCTCCAACCTCCGAGCTACAGCGGCCCTTGAAGCACCTATGGCAAAAACTTTCTGAAAACTGCTGAGACAGAGGTATTATTTTTTTGTTAATATGGAGAATTAAAATTTTGTTTTATTTTCATCAAGGGCATTGAACAGCTGATCAAGAAGAAGATGAGGTAAATACAAGTCCCATAAAACTATTTTGTCTTAGTGGGCTTTGTCTTTCTTACTTGAGATTAAGTTCAAAGCACAGGTTGATCATTTTAATTATAGTCCGTCATATATTTTGTTCTTTGGCACCGAATAGCCAATTCCAATCTTGTGTTATTGAACTCTAGTCTTCAGGTCACTCAATCAACCAAAACAATGGGGTTTTTAAATTAAGTATTTCAGAAACCTGTCTCAGAGAGGGTTAACGAATATCGTTTATTATTAGGGGCCAATTCCGACGATGAACTAACTGGTTGATTCTTGTTCCCATCTGCATTGACGAATGATTTTTTTTCCAATGCCCACCCGGAGAATGACCTAGGTCATACAGGTATCTGAAGGGCAGATTTGTTGATCACTCTTTCAGGGACACCAAATTAGGTGGACCAACGTTGCTTCCACAATATGGTCAGATAGTACAGAGAATGAAAGAATATCCGTGTCATGCCCGGGATTCGAACCCAGAACCTTTCTGATGCAAGGTCAGCTCCCTGACCCTCACACAGGCCGTTCGGAGCAGTGACGAATGAGCTGAAGCAAATTATCTTCATTGATATATGGATCGTTTGATTAATCTTTCAATGTTGGGCTAACCATAAGAGATTTTCGTGGTTTCCCATTTCATTGCATGTAATAGAAAATAAAATTAAAAATACCGCAACATACTTTATATCATACTTCATAAATTTCGTCAACACTCTGTATGCTTGTCGATAAATTTAAAAGGAAATTCAACTTATCCCTTATTTCACTGTAAATAATTGATTTGTAACAAAAACTTTTAATTGATAATAATTTGTACATTTGTAATTGTATAAATTTCTTTAATGTATTATTTCTAAATGTGACGGTTGAACTTTAAAATACATAAATGTAACTTTGTGCCCAAGAAGAACTTTTTGAAAATATAAAACTTAGTTTTTCGGTTACTACCAACATCATAAATTTGAAGTGAATAAATAAAAAAAAATTCCGGAAAGTAAGTCAAATGTTATGTATTCTGGACCCGCATCCAGCATTACCAGAAAATATATGATATCGATACAGAATTTATATCGATTGAGCTAGTTTGTTTAGTGAAGACGTATAGCTTGAAACAAAAGACCTCATTCCAACTGATATTTAATGTTTCTCTTCAACTCCGGTAGATGGCACTGTCATAGTTGGTACCAAGCGATTCGCATGTTGAGGGGACATCCTTCGAATTCTCCCAAAACCGAACGCAGCTAAAGGCTCTATCTTACCTTTTTCCATAGGTAGTTCGCGGTGTTTTGAGACAAGTCGTAAGTTTTGTTTCCAAAGATCTTAGTTATCATCGTTTATGGATGACAGTGATAGAAATATTTGGAGCCAAGGTGAGAGTTTCAAATATTTTTTTGGCGATAAAATTGATATATGTTCATTTTGGAAAGCAATCAATCTAGGCGTTGGGATTTATTTTAACAATTTCGCGCGCTTAGTGTTTCATTTCTTAAAAGAAATCAATAAATTTTAGCTGCTACTGAGAGGTTTGGAAATATGAATGAGTTTAACAAACTTTATTCATTGAATTCAAGGTCAGAAATATGAAGTTTAATTTGTGGTCAGCGCATAAATTAGATGTCTTTCTATTGTTAATACATATTCAAACATTCATAAAAGAGTTTTTACTCTAAAAAAATAAATAAACAAAAGATACAAATGCAAACTTTTCTCTAAAGTTTGTAGAATCTCTTTGATACGTTTACTTTAATTAAATAATATTCAATTTCCTATTTTTTTGAACTTCAAGCGTTGACAATGCAGTCTAAAGTAGAAACTTTATTTAGTAGAAAAATAACCCTCCTTTACGCATAGTATGTCTTTTTATTAGTAATAGTACTTCTGGTAGTTATAACACAATTATTATACGAAATTAATTGATTCTGTATTTTAAATTTGTTTTTTTTATTGTAGACGGAATATCTTACGTTAAGTTTCGTTCTTATAGTTGATAGAGACTAAAAGATGTTTTAAATAATTAAAAAAAAATCTGAAAAAAAGTATTTATATCCAATTTATTATTATAAAAGTATGACGTATAGATTGTAAGAAAGTAAAAGTATCTTATTGTAAAATTATTTAAAATATGCATTATAGGCAAAATTATTACATAAATTTATGATTCTCTTTAACATGATTATGATTCTATGATTCTATGATTTATTAATATGATTCTATATTATATGATTCTATGATTTATAGTTCTCTTTATTATGACTTTAACAATATGAAGGGCCAAAGAAAAAAATCCTTCTTTAGCATTTCTCTATCATTAGACCATTTTTGTATTTGTTGCATTCCTTGTTGCATAGATTATATAGTTTTAGTTGCGTATTCCTCATTTTGTATTCATACAAAAAATTAGTGTACGGGAAAAAGCATTATTTTTTTATCGTACAGAACAACATTTTTTTACGATCAATAACAGTATAATTACCAAGACAGATGCATATTTATTGCACATTACTATAAAATTGTAATACAAGCACTATGGAAATGTAATAAAATTGCATATTTTCTCTAAATATGTACACGAAAGATATAGTTATAGTTCAGGACTTTAGGATGAATTTTTTCCAAGAAAATGTCCCTACAAACTTAAAATTAAAGGAAAAAAATCAAATTTTAGTAACACAGTACATCACATTGACTTTTAAAAATTTTTCATAAACAACTTTTTATTTTAAATTTTTAATGTAATATAGGGGGACATTTAATGTAGGGAATAATGGGGTAAGACCGTGTTGTGGGGTAATATCGTGTACTTTGATTGTGAGGAAACTTTGATTGTGAGTGTTTGTTTTCTAGCGGACAAAATCTAAATTATACTAGTCAAGAACAAGAATAGTAAAATCTAACCATATTATAAATACCATATTGGCTTGTTGTTGCTGATTAATTCATGGGGTCTGTTGAAATCTAAATTATACTAGTCAAGAAGAAGAATAGTAAAATGTAACCATATTATAATTACCATATCTGCTTGTTGTTGCTGATTAATTCATGGGGTCTGTTTAGATAATTTTGTTTTACTATGTCAACTCTGTAATATCCTTTTTTTTTCTTCAAAAACTAGCTTTGGTTATTGGTCATTAAAGAAATAAACAAATCGTATTTTGTCCAGCTTATGTATCCAAATGTCAGGCCCAAAATGTATTATTTCATTTGCCAAATATAAAGCTTTGTAAGATTTAATTTTTGTAGATTAAGAAACGATTATGTTCATAAATTTTCAAAAATCGACGAATTAAAATTATTAATCAAATATTTAACCAATGAATCAAATTTTCCTTCACTTTTTAATACAATTTTGGGTCATTTATGTTTATTTAGTATCAATTAAATTGATAGGGTACACAGTATTTTAACAATACACTCAAGTAAAAGAAAATGATTGGGAAGATATTTAAATTTCAGAATTTATCTGAGGAATTCAAAACAGTAATACTCATCATCTCAAATAAGTAATTTAAACATCTTTATCTTCTTATGATAAAAGCTGTATACAATAATTGTAAATTAAAAGTAATTGGGCAAACTTGTGGATTGGGGGAATTTTTTTTTTCTTTTTTGTTTTCTATTGCATGAGCTTTCTTTTCTTTTTTTCTTTTTAAACAAACCTCAGAGGCTGTGGCATCCCTGTATTTTAAATTTGCAACCGGTTTCTCGATCCAAGCTACAGTTTCTTTAATAAAATTTTTTGTCTATTTCTTGACAAAATTTACAAGTTTTTAAACTTTACATGTAACAGGGTGTAGCGTAAATGTTGCTACTAACTTCTAGGGGAGATGAGACTAATCTTAAGATTTGAATTTCCTAAGAACACAGGTCATTATATTGAAGCTTCCCAAACTGCGTACGGCGACAATTCCGGGCAAGGGCTNCAACCGGTTTCTCGATCCAAGCTACAGTTTCTTTAATAAAATTTTTTGTCTATTTCTTGACAAAATTTACAAGTTTTTAAACTTTACATGTAACAGGGTGTAGCGTAAATGTTGCAACTAACTTCTAGGGGAGATGAGACTAATCTTAAGATTTAAATTTCTTAAGAACACAGGTCATTATATTGTACGACGACATTTCTGGGCAAGGGCTCATATGGAATTTTACTCGTGATGAATTCCACTCGAAGTTTGTCGTGACAATTCTGTGATTTTCTATTATATATAATGTTTTTATACTTGTAAAATACGTCAAAGAAAAACTAATTACAGATTTGAACCTCCTCATCCAATTACGAAATATCAAGTATTTATGTAAATTCAATAAAAAAAAAAATTCCCAGTGCAATTATTAAAAGACATCAATTTAATTCTACTAATTTCGTATTTCAGTTAGTTTTGTTGGGTTTCACAAAATTTTTGCATGTTTTAAAACAGTTTAGAAAATGAAATGAAAAAATGAATATGTGTTATCTTGAAGTATTAACATTGATGCTGATTACTACTAATATCAAGAATCAATTCGAATCCATACTAATATCCGTCTTTATGTTGCAGTAAATACTCCTTTACAAGGTTTATAAATGAACTAAACTTCAGTAAAAAAAGATGATTCAATGCTAACTCTAATTAAGAAGTTAATTAACTCAAAACCAAACTCACTAAATAAACAAAACTAACGAAATGAATTCTACTTCCAATTTCATATTAAAACAAATTTTACTGCCCATATTTGTGTCGGCGACAACATGCAATTATTTTTTTTAGCAGAACTTTTCGTTCAATCTGTTATTTTCTGTTTATTCATATGCTAATGAATATCCAACTCTAAATTTCTAAAAATAGAAACGAACATTTAAAAATATTCGTTAAATTTGAGTACCAAAATCGAGTTTTTTAATAGCTCGTTGGTGGCTTTTTTAAGAGGTCAAGCGTTGGTAAAATGAATAAAAATTCCATTTTTTTTAATAGTGGGCTTAAGAATAATCCCTGATATTCCAAGATTCATCATCATCTCATGACTCAAGAACTGCAGATTTCCGCATATCCATTAACTTCTCTGGCTTAAATGGCAACACTTTTCACGAGACTACCGCAAAGCATTATGGTTTTTCTTCCACTTTGCCTAGACCTAATTTTAATGGCGGAAAGAGCGATAAAGTTTTATGGTAGAAAAGATGGAATTTTCCATCTCTAAAAATGAGTTAAATCGAATGCAGAGTGCCAAGTTTTGCTTCCTTTTTAAGGGTGTTTTTTTTGTCATAAGTGCCAGCTTCCTTTTCCGGAAATGGTTTACTAGACGCTGCAGCTCAGTGTTCTAAAAAGAGCTAAGCCCTGAACTATAGAAAGTTTTATTTCTAAGTATCATTCCTCTTTGCATTTCAAAAATTTAACGGCATTCTGTAGTTTAGGACTTATATTTCAAGAAAATGTTCATAATTAATGCTCAAAAAATTCTGGTAAAAAAACCAAAATTAACAGATAATTAAATGAGAAAATTTAAAATGTTAGAATGCACGCATTTCAATTAAAAAACTTCATTTGCTGTAAACATTGTGGTAGGAAAAGTTGATATGTTTCGAGAAAGTGACAAGAAAAATCGAAGAAATCCGAAAAATCCAAAAAAAAGCTTTTGGGAAATTTTGTCCTTTCTGTAATATCACGAAAATTTAAAATTGATAAATTAGTGTAAATATAATTTCATGAATTACATAATTATTAGAAGGACTAGATATTTTTTAAGGTACGCATTGTTTAATTTATTGTGCTTTGCTAGTTGAATGTCCTTTTTCCCATTTCAAATTAATATTTAGTGTTTTGCTTAGCTTAGTTTTACTTACGCTCTACAGTAGACATTTTCTAACAATCTTTCATTAAATGTAGTACTTTATGAAAATAGATTTTCAGGATCATTCATCATTTTCTTTCTATTAGCGAGATGTCTAAATTTTTGTAAATACTCTTACGTTTAATAGTGTTAAGCGTTATTTTCAAAATTAAATGGTGCTCTATTGACCTTTTGATCACGTTTTAATTAATTTTTTTATGTTTAATTTAACGAGAAATTTGGGTTCGTTAACAGACTTTTAAAAATTTTTTTCGTTAAAACGATCCCTTTACAAATTTTGCTATCGTTTCACAAAATTTGTTGTCGTTTCAGAAATTTTTTTATCGTTTCGCAAAATATTTTATCGTTTTACAAGATTTTTTTTCATCATTTCTCAAAATAATTTATCGCATAAGCACACCGTAACTGACTATCATGTCTCGAAAACAAGCATTTCACAAAACTTTAATTTTTTTTGTTGAAAAACTGAGGCACTGATGTCGTTATTCATAGTTTTGAAACAAAACACTTTAAAAGTCATGTCTTTTTTGTGTTTTTACACAAA